GCTCGGAGGCCCTGGCACCAGTGTCTTGCCTGGGCTGTGCTTCAGAGAGGCCGCAGGCCCTCCGGTCCATTGCGGGGTCAGGCAGCTGCTTGGCTTCTGGAGCCACAGGGTTACATCTCTGTGTACAGGAGGTTTGGGGTGGTTTGATGGTCCCCTAAGCAGTGCCACACCTGTCCCTCGCTCAGCGACTGGGGCCGTTTGGTAAGTGTGAAGTCCAGTGCTTGCCCAGGCAGTGCCACTGTGGGGTTTAATCCAGGTATTCACGGTTCACTTGCGTAACTTGGAGTGTCAGGATGAGGCAGGGGACCACGGTGGAGATTTATACACAAAACCTCAAGGGAGCAGGTTATTGATGTAGATTTATAAGCTGCTCGAAGCAGAGGCTACCTCTGTTCTGTTGTGCAGAGTTTAGCTGAGTAAGTCTTTAGTCCAAGACTCAGTGCAGACGCTTTCTGCAGTAAAAGCAGCAATTTATAATTGTGGACTGATAGCTGTGTATATTGGAACTGGTGGGACTGGTCTGCACAGCTAAACAAAGTGTGCTTTCCTGAGGTGAACCCCTGCTTTTGGGCTTTATAGTGCTGGATCAGCTTGTCAAGAAAGGAAGAGAGACAATTGTTTAGGTGGGAGAACAGTTAGTCCATATCAATTACTAATATTCATTTACATTTTTACTCAGGACTACATGGCGAGCAGATGGACTGTTTGAAGCACTGGGTTTGATCGCCTCTGCTGACTGTAACCCACAGGGAATCTCTTGAGTACCTCTGTCATCTGAGGTTTTCCCCTGATATGGAACAAAGTGAAGGTGAACAGGAGTCTCAGCCAGAGAGTCATGTGGATAGCAAAAGCAGTGTGAAATCTTTGCCTGGGGGAGCAGCTCATGTCAAACTAGAGATAAAAAAACATGCAGTTACTGATGACTACAAACTCTCCAAACGGGTGCTAGGGTTAGGAATCAATGGCAAAGTACTGGAGTGTTTCAACAAGGAGACAGGCCAGAAATGTGCTTTGAAGGTATGTAGGCTTTTGCTTTTTTTCTTATTTATGGTTTGGAGGCAGGAGTTCACTTCCAAAGCCCTGTAGAAGCTACTTGTTCTGTCACTTATATTTCACAGAGTGCTGCATGAGGAATTTCACTGTGTGGAGATGTTTACTATTACTTAAAGATTTGTAGTCCAAACTTGAGTCTTTTCCAGAATATTCTGCATCAGTTTCCAGAGGAATGTTATCATCGGTGAAATTCTCGTGTTCATATTTAAAAGACAAGAAGCGGGGGATGGAACAGTGTCTTGGTGTGTTCTGTGAGAAGGCTTGCTAGATTTTGAATGAACATGTTATGCAATACTTGGGAAGGAAACTATTTTGGATCTTGTGCAATGAAATAGCTTAAACTGGGAAGTATTTAAATGTTCATTGGTATTCAGGCTTTTTTCCCTTTGAAGACTTCTCTTAAGGGGCATTTCTAGTTGTTTACTAGCTGCTTCTATTTATTTTTGTGATTCATTTACAGAAGGGTATTACTTGAGAAAGCACTAATTACACCAATATTGGCAGGTAAATTTAGTAGATATTTGTGGTGATAAGTACCACTTAAATAAATGGAGCAATAGCTATTCATTAGAAAACAGAAAGCTTACCTGCCTTTTGCTCTGCAGCTTTTAAACTGGAAGATTTCCCTGATGCTTTTAAAGCACATCATTAGAAAAAAACAACTCAAATGAGAGCCATAGTGGTTCTGTATGGTAAAACTGAAAATCAGCTGAAGTAGTCATTATGAGATGAGATGATTAAGAATGGTATGGAGTCCTTGCTGGTGTTAGTCTGATTATCTGGGATGTCTGGGGTACCATTTCTTCTCTTAAACCTCACATTCCATGTTTGCTGACAGAAGGACAAATCTGCAAGTGGTCAGCTGGAGGATCTGCCAAAATCTGGACATGGTCTTACCTTCACCAAGCTAGAACTTCTATCCCCAGCAAAGCCTTTGCACTTTGATGGAGCAGACTGGAAATACCTGGTAGCTTTGTGTATTGAAAAGATTTTTAACAGAGGAACTAGAAAAGCTTATATACAATAATATAGTGATTAATTCATGTTTCCAACACTCTTGTTTACTTTATCACACTGTTTTTTGTATTAGCTTCATGTAACTGACTCAGAATTCTGTTTATCATCGGGAAACTGAAGGTTTTGGCAAACAGACTGGAAGTACTGGGGTTTTGCACCTGCATAGGATTGTGCCAGGTTTTTTACAACTCTGAGGTGATCCATTAATCAGATCCTTCTAAAGTGCTATCAACATTAGTTTCTACACTGAGCATTCTGTGGTGAAAATGAGTTCAGAAGCTTTGCTGCTGGTTATAGACCATTCATACTTCGACAGTCTTGCAGTCATAAGGGCTAGAAACATTTTAAAATAGAAGTTGTCATTTCAGAGCAGAATCCAGTGACAGCAAGAGTGTTCCAGAGCAAATTCTGTAGCTCTGGAATCAAGTAGGAAATACATTCCTGTGAATACTGAAAAATATTTTTTAAACTCAGAGTTGGGAGGGGATAGGAGAGAGGTAAAGCTGCTGTACCCTGACAGAGTGACTTCTGCCTGATGGGAAGGAGGAACCTCTAGTAGATCTTCTACTATCAGTTTCTGATTAGCACTAATTTGAGTTGGCTGTTTTTTTCAGAACTTTAAAAATATATCAGGACCAAAGCACCACCCCCCTTCCCAAACCTGATTTTTGTCAGTAATTGGCTAATGTGTCTCTGAAGTTACATTATGTATATGTTTGTCATCCTCCATTTCCTTCCCCTCCCCAAGCTGTGGAATGTGTGCACTTTTCTTCTGAAAGGGGCAGAAATATTAAGATGTTTATGAGTTCTCTAGAGACTTTAAATGGCAGATAATAGTTGACTGCTTGTGTGTATGTACTTCTCATTGTTAGGAGTTTAAGTGCTGAATAAAAAGTTAAATATGTAATTAAGTAAAACTGCCAGCAGCCCAGAGAGAATCCACTATTCTCTCCGAAGATGGTCTAATGAGAAGATTACCCAACAAGGAAGGATAAAAACTATGCTTGGTTAATTGGCAGGAATAAAAAGATCTTTTCCTAGCATAGCCCTGAAGATACTTGCAAGGACGAAAATATTCAGAGGAAGTTTTTCCCTTGTTTCTTGTGAAACCTGAACTGAGTTACGCAGGTCAGAAAGCTGCTCCAGCTGAGACTTCAGAGCAAGCCATCCAGTCAAAACAATTCTGGAAAAGGACAAGGAGCTCGAAAAAAAAATCATGCGAAACAGCTTCAGTGCAGAATTCTCTGTGGGGACCATAGGGTCTTGGCATTTCTTGTCTGTTTCTGCTCATACATCCTAGGTGTGATGGCGGGGTTATCATTCGCGTACAGTGGAGGCTGATGAAGCTATCACAGAAAAAACAGCTGGTCTGATGGGTAAAGAATAACGTAAAGATTGAACTGCAAATTGAACAGAAAAAAAGGCATGCTGGATTTGCGTGGTGGTGGTGGTTTTTGATTGTGTTTTTTTTGGTGGAGTGTTGTTTTTTTTTCTGGAGAAATGTTCTCTGCTGAGATCCATGGGTATTTATGGACAAATACTTCAGGCATGAGTATTCTTGCTGTAACCTAGTCCTAGGAGAGGAAAAACATCACTCCTGCTTCTGAAGATGAAGTGTAATAGTCCATTCCCTTTCACACCAAACTTGTCCATTAAAGCAGCTTCTGACTTGGCAGATGGCACTGCTTTCTGCCTGCAGGTTTTCTTTTGTACGGGAATGAAGCCAGCACAGCCAGAACCTGGATAGAAATTATGCAATGGAAGGAATTTTTAACTGAGGTACTCAAGAGGAAAGGGCTCAAACTGGCAGAAACATTCATCTCCAGAGCTGTGTGTTGGTCAAGCACCGCATATTGTAGTAATTGGGAGGTCCCTGTTGTCTTTAGTCTGTGTCCATAATTGGAACTAGTTGGAATGTCACTAATCATTTTAGAGTGGGAAAACACCAGACATCCTCTCAGAGATACTGCAGGGCTTTGGTTATTTTCCTAAGGTATTATGTGGCTTAGTTTACTCTGCTTGGCGTTGTGATTTGCTACACACTTTTACAATGTGCTGTCAACTTTGTTTAGGTTGAAATGCCACACACATTGCTGTCCAGCTCCAGAAAATCTAATCTGGTTACTCACTTAGACACATAATGGCATTTTGGCTGAACAGCACTGTTTCCAAATAGTGAGAACACAGGGATTTAGAAAAGTAGAAGCATAAACAAAACTGCTGTGCAGGACGGTGGCCTTCTAGAAGGCAACTCTGTTTTAGTCTCTCACTCGCTTGCAAATAGCAAACCTTTTCAGCTAGCTTTCGATACTTGATCCTGAAATAACAGTCAAGTGAACTATAGTCACTCTTCTATTTTTATCTCTTCATTCCCAGCCTGCCCCCTTCTGTTCACTTTACCTTTTGGGGCTGGAATTTAACATCTACTCTTTTAACACTGTCACCAGCTTGAGTGTTGTCTGCTGGTTTTCACACTCCTTGTTTATAGGGAGAGGAGGAAACAAAAATAGCCAACTACCTGTGGGAATAAATGTGGATTCCTGGGACTTGCCTTCTATTAAAAAATTCCCAACCCACAGTTCCTTGTTCTTCCTTTCTTTTTTTCCTCACTTCTCTTTAGGGTTGGTTTTGGGGTTTTTTTTACACCAATTCCTGCTAAGTGGTGTAAAAATATTTCAGTGCATTTGATGAGCTACTTTGTTTTTGTGAAAGATGGTCAAAAGGGCTCAGAGTTGGGATCAAGAAAAGAGAGCTAGAGAGCTTTCTAATGGGATATCAGGACTTCAGGATTTTGGTGGATGTTTCAGGAGGTAAAAAGAGTGTTAGATGTTGTTGACATACTTCTCACTTTCAGTAAGCAGATGTTGTTTCTTTCCATGAGAAGAAAAAGGAAAAATCAGCAGAGCACATAAAATCTCTTGGAACTTCAGGAAAACAAAGGGCGTTGGTTATGAGCATTATTGGTACTTTTGATAGGAAAACTCTCATGCATAATAGTACAGAAGTTGTATAGAATAGTGTGGAGTCATCTGAGGCTTCTAGAGTAAGGTGGAGTATATACGTATGAATGGACCTGCTAGTTCAGAGGTGTTATCCTCTAGAATAAATAGTGAGTTAAGCCATGACGTACATCATGGAAAACATTCTGTGCTGCTAAGTGCCAACAATATGGGTACGTGACTTGCTGATATACAGACAAATAGGTGAAGCCCAAATGTTAAATAAAGCAAAAACCAACACAAAACCCAACAGGTTCCTTGCCTTTCAGATTTAAGGGACTTTTGGTGAAGGATAGAAAAGATAATCATAGAGTTGGAGGCTCTACTGTTATCTGTAAGACTGTTGACATAACTTGGTGCTCCAAAGGAAAGAAAGCAAGTAACAAAGAAAGTTCTGCAAAAAGTAATTCCCAAAGTTGTTATTGTAGACCCCACATTGACTAGATAAAGAATATTGTTCTGCTTTCCAGAGTCACTGTGGAGAAACACAGTCATTCTACATCACCTTAATTTAGTCGTGAGCTATGTTTCACACTCACTCGATTTTGATGTTTCTAATTACTTTAAATAATACTACATCATATAAGCTAATTGCTGGATAGTCTGTTCTCAGTTAGTGTACCCTGAAGTCAGGTCAAGATTGCTCACAAATGGGAGACTCTGCCTTCCAAAGGATTTGTTTTGCAAGCTATCTAAGTAGCTGGTACTTCTAAAATACCTGGTTTATTGCCTGAGATCAGAAGATGAGCCAGGAAAATAATGCAGCAGTGGAGAAGGCAATAAATACAGTGAAAGTAAAGGGTTTTTTAGGCTGGAGATTGGTTGTAGAACAGAAAAGCAGAATAGAAACAAGATGTTTAGGTGCTACAGATTACATTTTTAGAAGGAAATTATGCCAGATTAAGAAAGAAACATGTCATTATTTATAGAATAAGGAGGAATAATGTT